CGGCATTGATTAAATCTCGAACGCACTATTTTCTGCTAATATCAGGAAGAACGAATTTTGTCGAGATGTCGGTGTTCGTGGATTTTCGAATATTTTTAACCTGCCAGTCGCTCGAGGTCGAATTCTCCTATTTTTATCGTGACCAAGAAGCATTTTCATACACGCTATTACGATCCATCACTTGTAACGTACAGGGTGAACTACGTAACTCGCACGGCTGAATAACTCCTAAATTATGCCGCGCTTGAAAAATTGTTGTGCGCGAAAGTTTCATGGCTTTGAAAGAGGTATGATGTAACGCACGGTATTTTGCTCGGGTAGGCGGAGAGATTTCGGACGTTTCACGGTTTTCAGACTTTTTCAGGGTTCCCAAGATTGTCTGGAATGAAACTAAAAACGGTATGGAATTTTTATTTCCCTCGTTCCCGTTCGATGAACGATATTTATATCCTCGTAGCGTTGCAACGAGTGCGTCGCGTTAGATCCGCTTCGCGAATTTCATACTCCTCGAAATTCGCGTCTACGAGTATTCCGCGGCTGAACAAGCGTCGAGTGTAACCCATCGGATCTCTCGGGCATCGTAACCGGAACAAAAACGTTTCTGCATTTTCGCTAACCGATCGGAACGAACGCCGTTAATACGCGGGTCTTTTACGGGCGTAATGGCGGACACGCGGGACGTTGGAATCGCGGCGAACGGTACGTGGCGACAAATTGATTCACGTGAAAGAGCCTGTTGTCCCGGCGGTTCGTTACGACGGACAAAACGCGATCTTATTGCTGCGGGCTCGCAGGGACGAAAAACGATTCGATTATACGGGTTTCAATTAAATCGGGATCGCGGGATGGGTGTTATTCAGCCGGGCGTATGGAAAGTTATCGGAAAGGGAACGGGAAGAAAGGGAACTGCCGTGGAACAATGATGGAACTGTGCCACGATTTTCCGCCGAATAAATAAACTTCTTTTTACGATTATCGCTTTGTCCCTTCCGAATGGTAGTAATCACAATTATTCCGGTGCATTGTGCGATCCTTTAGCGAAACAGTTCCATTATCCTACGGGGTGCTCCGCGAGTGTCCGCTTTAACTGTTGGAATACCCGCTGAGGATCCGAAGGTACCCGTGGGATGTTCTTTCAGGGGTATAACCGAACAGTACTTTACAGTACTTTAACTGTTGGAATACCCGCTGAGGATCCGAAGGTACCCGTGGGATGTTCTTTCAGGGGTATAATACGCAGTTTGAGGCTGGAACGGGGCCACAGCGTTGAGATCGTTTGCGCGTTGTCGATGGGAAAACGTGGTGCTCTTCGTTTGAAAAAATTAAAAATAAATCTGCCGGAGGTGAATTGTTCCGAATGGTCCATTCGCGATGAAAGTTCGGCAGGATCTTGATTATATGAATTATGTATTTCCAATTACGATGCCGTATATTAACATGCGAAGTGTTTACTCTTTTCGACCAGATGAAATCCATTTATCGTGATTCGCTGTAGTAAAATTCGCACGGTACGTTATATCTTAATAGTAATAATAATAATTCAAACATCAGTTGGAGAATATTGTAATTCTAGTTTAATATCATCGTAGTAATTTAATATCCGTGATACAATATTACCTTAAATTGATTAGATATGACATAGTAAATTATACGTTAATAATAATAATAATTATTATTATGTTATGATATAACGTTGCCAAAATGCATGCAAACAGTATCGAGAATTGATCAAATATGTGGCACAATCGAAAGCTTAATACTAAGAGTGTGCGGAATTTTGCATGAAATTTCTCTCGTATCAACACTTTTGTCGCTCAATTAATTCATATAATGGAGATTCTGTTGTACTGTAGAGAGTTCAGAAGAAGTTCATAAACAAGAGTATCTCTTTCCGTATCTCGCGTTGTTTACGAGTTTCAAATTAGTGAACGTAAGAGCGCGGCCAATTAATATAACGTGTGCTTTTCTCTGCATCTGCATACGATCAGGCTAATTTACCGAGTTCTTCCGAGCTACCTCCACTAACAATGCCACGTAACTTTCTTTCTCTTTATATATATAACACGGAATTTTTACAAGAACGACTCAGTTTGTCTACAGCTACGGCATTTCCACGAATTATCCCACAGTTCTCGGTTAAGATGGACACCCTGTATATTCGCGTTTCCCCGCACCACGAAGGAGCGAAAAAACACAGCGTTCGCACGCTAATGCGCTTCGCGTTGCAAATCCTTGAGAGATCATCCTGAAGTAGATAAATGGAAAAAGATCCACTCTGGATTACACAGCGAACGAAATCAAGATTTACGTTATCGTCGTGTGAAATATTTGCATTATCCCGTTATCTCCTTCACGATTTACGGTTCGAGTTCCTGATACTTCCGACGTCGGGATCGAACAATTTCTCATGTGTTTCGCAACCGTATTATCTTTTTCCTTTGGCAGCTTCGTTATGCAGTCGTGCGAATTATTGTTCTAGAGCAAGTACGTAAAATCGACGATATTTTAACGATCGAAATTTATAAGGAAAGGAATGGAAAATTTCCTCTTGAAATAAGTGAAATGCCTTCTAGTTGTGCCTTCTACTATCGTATTAAATATTTTCTTCAAATGTGACACGGAGAGTCACGCGAAACAGAGGATTCGTCGATATTTACGTTACTGTGGTATTGGCGAATAAAGTAGAAATTGCTTAGCACCAGATCGAGCTACTGTCGAGAGAATATTTACTAAATTATCAGTGTTGCGAGAAGAACCAGTGAATTCCTGAAAGGTTGCTGGAATTTTCGGACGTTTGGCTGTGCGTAGTACGAATGAGGATAAGAAGGGGTGCCAAGGGGTGCGAGAAACAGTTAGTGCTAGTCCTGCGAGTGAGTTTCAACCCTTTGCGCTCGACGATTTTTTGGCTAAAGAGGGGTACGAGTTGAAAAATTTTCTTCCACAAGGCTGATGATATTTTTTTTAGCAGTAAATAAGAAATCGAATAATAATTAACACGTAGAATTATTCAATTTCGATACCTCGAAATTTTATCAAATGGCGACCTAGAGGCACCTCGAGTGCAAAGGGTTAAGTATTAGTCTTGACAGTCGGTTACTGAAAATGTTACTGAAAATGTCCATAACTTACTCAAAAATCAACGAAATCAGTGAGATCCCTCCCCTTTTCTAAATAATTCCCTCGTAAACTTGTAATCATTGTTGATTCTTTAGTCGCAGATGAGATTTCACGAAGCAGTGTGTATTCCTACTAATCTATTGTAGGATATTTTGAAACATTATTAAGGCAAGATACCCCCCTTCGGTGAGCTGGAAGGAGGAGTCTCTTCTACCCCTGAGCTTTATGTGGAGGGATTTTTCTCCTCCTTCGGGGGAGGTCCTTGCCTCGCAGACGGGCCTGTTCTGGAAGATAGAGTCTATTTCGTTAGTTGCATTTAGTTCGTCAGCAGTTCGAGTCTAGTTGTCTTATAGTTCGTGTTGAGAGTCTTGAGTTGTAGCTTAGTTATTGTTTAGTTCGTTACGAGTTCATTCAGAGTGGTTAGTTGCAGTCTTTAAGAGTTGAGATTGAGTCAAATCAAGTCTGCAGTAAATTTTAGAAGCCCAAGTATTCTCCAGCATAGTAGAGACTGTGTGACTCTATACTATTCTAGCTGTTTAATTCGTTAATTAATTAATAACTGTTCCCTCTGTAACATTTACATCGAACCAATTCGATTAATAATACCACGGAGTTAAATACCAAATTATAGTTAGGATTAATGTCTTCTAACAATCAGTAAAATTCCAGATATCATGCGAATATTCAAAATTCCGCATCGGTGGTCTTGGGCGTAAATTCGTATTACGAAGGAAGCAACCCTAACAGGAAATTGGCCAAGAGGGACTATCTGGTGGCATTTCTGGTGTGAGCCATGTACGCTCTTCTCGTTAATGATACTTTCACCACCAACGCTTTTAGCTCTGTGCCCGTCTGCACTGCGCGCAAAATTAATGCGACAACATCGCGGCAGAAGAGCCCGATGAACAAAATATCACGAGAGTTGAAAAACCGAAATATTCATGCAAGCAGTTTAATTTGGCAGTCATGCGAGCCACGAACGCGTGCTGCTCGTCCCTCTGCTACCCCTATCGTGTTTACCCTTTGCAAGTAGTACGTCGATAAAACTAAAACGAACGTTCAGCGATGAAAAAATTTAATTTTCTTACGAGGATGCGTTGGTTACTTTAATTACCGGGTTACTCGTGAAAAATACTCCGTTTATTTCAGCATCTCTGTTGTAAATGCTTAATGTTTGCCAGCAGAGCTGTACAATCGTCTTTTGTTCGTTTATTCGTAATTAACTCGGTGTAATTAAATACCACGCGTTGACAGAATACAACAAATGAGATTTCCTTGTAAGTTATCGTGTCACGAAATAACAGAAAATGTCTGCTGAAACAGGGAATGATCGAGTGTGGCCGAGTAGGCGAATCAGGTAGCCATCTTGCGAGCAATGTGACACCCTTTGCTAGTAAACCATTTGATTTTGGCTCTCGGTCCAAAGTTATACTTAAAAATGCATATTTCTGAATTTTATTTCAAAATTGTACACTGGGTCAAAGGAGTATTCGTTTCCTCTACTGTCATCGAAATTTTATTTCAATTTTCACGATTACGAATATCGTCGTGACGTTAATTCCACGACTATCTATTTTCATCCCTTTCTTCCTACCCAATTGTTATTTTGCAACGAAGCTTAGCTTAATCGCGAGCTTAATTAGCGACGTGTACTCTCGCTATCAATGATACTAAAATCCACTGCAAGAGAATGAAATATTCGAATTCAAATATTCCCGTGATTCATCGTATATCTTGATAATCCATCCGAGCTAGTCCCTGGAATATTCACATCTCACACACAGAGACACGCGATCTCCGACAATCGCGCAACATCCACGGGTACTTCGCGATATCGATTAGGCTGTCACGTGGAAAAGTATGATCGATAAAAGATAGCTCACCTGGATAAAAAATAACTTCGGCTTGCCAGCCAGGCTGGGACATTTATTGCCAATGAACGTTGACCAGAGCAGTTCCACGGGATACGTGCTGTCGGTGGCATGCAGGTAACGTGATTCTCCATGCGACATAGCAACTACGACCAGACAGTCAGCATCCGTGTGGTCTTCTTCAGCAACTTTAATGAAAGGATTAATTAATTCGGTGCTGCTCGCGATAACGACCTCGGACTGTGTTTGCCCGAGTAGGTGATACAAGGAATAATATTGGGAGAGCGAAGTTCACCGCGCTATTTCGATGTCCATTCTCCAAAATCACGAACCGTTTTGCAAGATTATTATTTCTGTGTATTTAGATTTACCCTTCATACCTCTCCATACGATCTTCTATCGGATGCGCTTGCGATTACTATCACGGAGACAGGGGGAAGTTAGCTCCACAGGTGTTCGGGGTTTCCGGCATGTTGAAGGCATTAAGGTAACTGTGCTATCAGATTAAAATTCCTCCTTTTCGAAGTATAAAAGGGATTTTATAAGTTCATTCGTGAGAACTGTCCTACGAGTGATGCTTAAATTTTAGATAAATTTCAACGAGAAAATAGTAATAATTTATATACCATTATGCACTATTTAGACTTGGATTTCAATTTTTCGAATTTTCGAATTATTTAGTTTGGAATTTTGTCTTTGAAATTAGGTTTCCCTTAATTACAATCATAGTTACATTCGCGTTTATAAGTGTCGGCAGAGAATTGATTAATTTTGTCCCCTTTGCGCGATACAATATTATCTTGGTCAAGTGCATAAATTAACGATATTACCACCGACTGCACACTGCACTGTAAACGATTAAAACTGCAGTAATGAAAGTCCTCGTGGTAAATCTGTGAACCGCATGGAACAAGTGTCGCGTTATAGATTCGAGTGGCGAACGAGTTTCCGCACTATATTTAATGAAAGGATTAATTAATTCAGTGCGGTCCACAATAGTGATGACCGAACTGTTTACCGTGATGGGTCATACGCAAGCAAATCAAGAGGTTAACGACCGCACGTATTGTTCGTTTAACCTCTCACCCTTTCCGATTTGACTGTTTTGTTGCCACAGCAAACATCGCCGGACTTGAAAATCACTTTCGCAAACAATTCCAACGCGTTAGTCGAATCGTTTTCCAAACGAATTTTCAAAACCCTTCGATTTTCGCGCCCTTATTTCTACGTCCAACCAATCCATCCCCGGCCATCTTCGAGTTATTCCTTTCTACCTTTTTTCACCTCATTTTCGTTCTTTTCATAAAATTAAATTACGACGGAAGAATCCAGTTTCGCTCGAAAATGGAGGTAAATTAAATTATTGCGCACCCCGAGGATCGTTATTCGTTGTTTTCGGCGTAGAATCATTTTTTCAATGTCTCAAAGTATAAGATTCTTCTATAACGGGGTACCATTCGAGACGTGAAGTTCGAGATAGAGAAACGTGATGGCTTCAACAGCTTATTTAGTTAATTGGTTAGTTGTTTCCTCTTTATACTTTCAATTCCACGGTACTACCCTGTATCGATACTACCCCTGTGCAAATCTCCCGTTTCCTTTTTGAGGATGTAGCAATTAGTCTGAATCTTCGAACAAAACTAAGCGGATTTCGTTTCTTCTCCCGAGTAATGCCGTCCTTTTTCCTGGTGAATCAATTTTATTAGTCCTTCGCCAACTTCATTTCTTCCTCCTGTCTACTACCCCTTTACGTAACGATGCAATAAATGCTACGCTTAATTTTCTCTGCAATTACGCGATACCGTTCGGCTCGTGCAATTTCACCATTACTAATTTTATCAACGATGGATATTTCAGTACCAAGCGATTTTTATCGTAGATAATGATTACTGGTTCCTTCAACTTCGAATTAATGAACGGAACGGTTGTAAAATATTTCGAGTGCAACAAATTTCTGCTTACGAGGAAATCATTTTTATAAAGGTAAATTATCTAATAACTATGTTTATCGTAAATGTTTCTGTCAAGATTAGTTATCGTTTTATGTTCACCGAGTTCCATTTTATTTGGTTCCTTTTTTAATTGCTTATTTATAAAGTTTATATATATCGCGCTGTATTTATTTCCGCAAGAATTTCTCGTAAACTACACGCAGGCCGGGCTTTTTAATTCCGTTGGTAGCGTGATAACGTGACTCTGATATACACACAAAAGCGTGCAAAACTATTCAGGCAGTTAACTTTTTAGTCGAGCTCTAGGAAAGGACGGCCGAAATGAACTTTAGATAATACGGGGTTAAAGTATAATGAGAAGGAAATACAACGGTGCCGCATTCTACATACATATTAGCTTTCCAAAATATATCTTCGCGAAATGTAACTGCGGAAAAATGGACCGGAAATATTTTCGCCCGAGTATAATTTTATACTGCAGCTGCGACTGTAACAGTCGAAGTTTGACAAAGACTTCTCAAATCACTGTACTGTGATAGCCGATAAATATTGAACAAAGTCGGAGGAATTATCCTTTATACCGGATCGTTAGTGTTAATTAAATCGCGCGCGAGTATAAATTTGCGAAATTTAATTTATTTCATATCCCATTCATTCGACGCCGATTTCCATCGCAATCTCTCTGCAGGGTAAGTCATTGGCGTTGCTAGAAACAAACTTGCAACGGTCCGAAGACGTAGTTGACACGTTCTCGAAATGTCCACGAGGACTACGAACGAGGAAGAAAAGTTTCGCAGAAGTTGAAACGTTCTTCCTCGCAATACTGTTCCCTTTTCTTAGTTGTTGGGAATGCTACTGTTGGAAAAGGTACTTCGCAAACTGAGGACATACGTATAAACACGTCTTCCACTCGCTTCCTGTATACAATTTACCGCTATCCGCAACGTAGAAACATCAGACCGAGAAAATTCCGATATATCACGTATTCAGCGATATCGTCTTAGCTATTATCTAGCTATTTCGTTCTTGAAGATATTTACACGGATTATACACTCGATATGACATTTTTAAATCGGACTTCTGCGTGATGCCACATCTCTGCTATCTATGAGTAATAAGATATCAATGTTCCATATGTTTTAATACTCAGCATTGTGCATTTTATTACGTTATCTCGATTTTTCAGACAAAAGAGTTTCGAAATTTTCATTCTTTCAATTTGCTTTTGAATGTTATATAAATATTCAAGTGTTCGATTTTTTAAATTTTCTTTAAATCATGTTAAAACATCCTAAATTTAACCTTATTTCTAACCCGGCAGAATAGATGTTGCATAGATTTCATGGTTTAATATCGAATGAACGATAAAAATATAATAATCGAAGAAAGAGTATTTTCAAAATTATCCCCGTTCCAGGAGCGTAGATTTTCTCGAATTTCCAAATTTCTGAGTCTCATTTCACAAACTTGGAGTATACAATCCACGTGCTTCGCCGATAGTACGGAATCTCGAGCAACACAAAGGCCTGCAGCCCCTAACCTAACGCCATAAAGAGGAATAAATCATTCCGTTATCAAATGGTTCACGAAATTCGCAATTTTCTCGGCCGCGGGGTAAACAAATAAGCAGCGACAGGGTCGGGAATTAGCGCACGGAGGTAGAGAAAAATCTGCGGATAATTCCTCCTGGAACAGCAGCAACCGATTTCACGCGCTATTTGCACCGGCACGATGCTCGTACAGCGGAAGGAACTCGCTTCCACCGATAGCGTCCGCGTCTTTGCCTCGACCAACATTCTTTCGTCTTCTGTTCGACCAGACGCGTTGATTAATTCGAAGAAATCAGCTGCGAATTAATCGCAGAAGTCGGACGACCGGCGAAGAATCCCGCGAAGAATCCAAGCGGAACGCTCGTGACTAGACAGAGGGACGCAACAAACGTACGAAACTCTCAGGGTTACTGCGGGGTAATTGCAGCGAGGGTGGAAGTGCGGCCGCAGCACACCGCCGAATCTAATAACCTGATATCAGAGCTCTCTTACTAACAATATCCGCTGGCAATATCCACTTCCGCTCGTTGGAAACCGGAATGCCCTTTCGGCTGATCGATACGCCCGACCGTGCTACAAATTCAGAAGTTTATTACCGGTGTCGGCTGATGCTTTCCCGGAGAGTCTGCCATTCTGTTCCAGGCGTCAACCGATATGCGAGCGCATACGACCGTATTTATAGACAGTGTTTCGTGATTTGTAGGAATCGCCTGTGATCGATACGTGCTCGGTGGAACGGTATAGGAACGTGCATGATTTCGCTCGACTGGATTATAGTTGACGCTAATCCTATGTAGGAATGGGATGAGCGCGGCCCTGAAAGAACGTTAAGAGTGTTTGGGACCTATGACGAAAGTGAGAGGATGAGGAGCAAGAGGATAGAGTGTAAGGGATGTTTATGACAGAGCCGAATACGATGGAAGTCTATGAATGCGTCATGTGTTTGAAGGATCTGGCCCACCGAGATTATGTGAGAAATGAGTGATCAAGAAAGAAAGCCTGAGTATAAAAGAGGATAAAATTAATGGTTAAAAGTAAGGGTGCAAGGGCAGTGTGCACGACGGTTTGGGAAGACAGTTTGGAAAGTTGCAGGCTATCAGTTACAGTTTTGAAAGTCAGTTTTAAGAAAGATCAGAAGAGTGTGCCTATAGCGAATCTCTCATGTTTCATAGTCAGTCGCCGTTATTCTATTTACAAGCTTATTTTATTCTATTAACCACTTGCGTTGGAAAGACTCACGCACGTCGTAATGCTTTTGTCACAGAATCGCCAACGACGTGGTATACACGTGGTTAGGCAATTGTCACAGAACACTGGACCGTTCTGGCACACGCGTCTGTGAATTTCTTGCCACCGCAAGTGGTTAAAAAGCCACGATATTATCTTGAGTCAATCCACCCAAAAACGATTCTACTCCTATCGTGGACTATACGATAGCTCCTAAACCTTTCGTTAAAAATTCGGTATTCGACGTTACCGTCATAGTCACTCGTCTTTGCGATTCTTCTTCTCGATATACCTGTGGGGATCTTCTTACTATTGTCATCAAAGAGATTCTTGGTTAGTCCTCTGCTGCATAGGAATGGGACTTCGTGACCATGGCAGATGGACCTGCTAGGTCGCCTCATTGACCAATTCCTTCCTTTCCTTCTTCCATCCTTCTCTTTCGCTCCCACTCTTCGTTCA